GGCAGTCCTTTTATATGGACACATTAAAACTTTGCTATTCGCTAGCAATATATTGTACAAATCGCACTGGCTTATTGCCGTGTTATTTTTTTTTTCTTGTGGCAAAGTGTCAGGTTGGTTGCATTTTGCTTTGCCTAAGCAAGGGTGATGGCTCACTTACACACTAATTTAATAGGGTCTTTTATGTCATTGTAATCCCAGTTGCCAATTACATATCTAGAAACTGGCCAAATTGCATGGTTTAAATAATACAAAACAAAACAAAAACGCCCCGCTAGGTGTAGCTGCTGAAGGTTATTTAGGAGACATTTGTCGTTCCCACTTGAAACTCAATACCATAAAAGTGCTGTTCTTCTATTTATTGCGTTAAACATTTATCAAATAGTAGGAAAACGGTCATTCATCAGTGACAGGCATGTCAGCATTACCTTCAATCCATTTTTGTTGGATGGTAGAGGTTATTGTGGGGTCTGTGTTTAATGTTAAATCGGGTATCATCAATTACTGTCACATGGAAATAATTATTCAAGCTGTGTAAAGAAATGAAAAAAAAATAAAAAATAAATTTCCAATCCGCCTTTTTGTAAAGAAGGACAATGTGTTTTTCTTTACCAAGATTGTTGGTAAGGTGGCAAGGCATGGTATTCCTTATTATTCCAAATATGTCAAAATTATGCCAAATTTAGAAAATAAATCATAAAAAAAAAATCCGGCTTTATATGCTATGCGCTTTCAAAATATGCCACAGATACCAAATATGGTATATACTAGGGCCAAATTGGCAACCTTCAGGAACTATATTTGTAATTCCATTCTTTCATTTATATTGGGTAGCTGATTTGCATTGTCTAAGCAGTTTGTGTAAATCGTTACACCAGTCTAATAGAGTAGTTATTTGTTGTTGGCGGAGCATTGGAATCTCTGAATAATTGAGACATTTACCTGGTCTGGTGCCGGAAATCAAGACTTTCTGCATGTAAAAACGGGGGCGCTCCATTTTGGAATTCGCTTGCGGGTTCATTTTCACGCGGTCGCGCCGTGAGTGGTGCTGTTTCACAGGTCACGCTCCAATGTCGGCCCGCGCATTTGCGCATGATTGGATTTTGTTTCGCAGGTTCATGCGTCGAGGATGCGTTGATTGCACGATCGCGCCGAAATACCTGGACCCTCCCCCCTTTTTCAGCAGGGAGGATATTTTTCCTTTTCATTGCAAACCGGTTTTTTGGACCAGGTATTCCTGGCTTCAGGGGTGAATGTTTTACTATTATTTGGGTTGTGGACCAGGTCAGGCCTGGCTTCAGCGGGGGAATGTTTACTATTAATGGCAAGCCTGTTTTTGGACCAAAATTACAATCTTTTTGTCATTGACAGGAAATATATTTGCAATTGCTCTCTTTCGTTTGTACTGGGTAGCTGATTGGCATTGTCTTTCATTTTTCACT